AAAAAAAAAAAAAAAAAATTAGCATACATAATGCGGGGGAGGGGCACAGAGAAGGCAGTATAGCACAGAGAAGACAGTAGTGATTCTAGAGCATCTTACTACACTGATGGACAATGACTGTAATGGGGTATGTGAGGGGGACTTGATAATGGGGGAAATCTAGCAATGACAATGTTGTTCATGTAAGTGTATATTAATGACAGTAAAAAAAAAAAAGGAAATGCAGCATCTGTTTCTTCCTATGTGGCCACCCTGCTTCCAGCAAGTTTCTGTATCCTTGGCTGCATCTCAGCACATTGTAAGTCCATGGGTGTACACTCTTCAAATCAATCTATAACCCAACTGAAATGCTGGTGTTTTAAAAGAATTCCACCATACTCATTTACTTTACATTTTGGAATAGGCAAATAGCTAAAGCCAACTGTACACAGAGTGAAGTCATTTATAACTTCCATACCAGAACAACTTAAGATGGTGCTTTACTCCTTCTGGTTCATCTATCGCTATTCATTCTCACTCTAAAAAAAGAAACATCATCAGACACATACCCATTTTGGGAAGAAGTTCTTTATCAGCTCCCTTGAAAAAGCACACATAGATCACTAATCCTCTCTGAACCTATGGGAAATCACCACAGAAAACTCAGATTAGAAAGAAACTTCTGCACAGATACAGAGGTAAATGAATAAAATTTCACAACTGTTACAGTGGATAAATAAATGCCAAGGAAGTGTTTTAACAGCACATTTGAGTTTACAATAGATTTGATTTCTTAAATATGTGAGAAAACAATCTTTTTCAATATTCAATCACCTTACTTAACATTTCTTCCAAAAATTAAATTTATAATATAGCAAGAAGAGTGAAGACCACAAGTTATACCTTCAAACATTACTTCTAATCAAAATCAGTACACTATGAACTAGCCTCCTCCCCAAGTAAGGCTGACAGATTTAGAAACATTTAGTTTGCAAGGGCCCCTTTATTCAATGCCAGAGGAATTCCCATTACATCAGATACGGCTGATGCATAAGCAACAGTATGACAGGCAGGTCTTTTGACATCAGCACCCTTTCTTCCTCCTAATCCATTTACTTGCAGATAATGAAACTAAGGGTCTGATTCTATCTCAGTGAACTCCAACAAACTGTCTAATTTGTATTTTGTCATTGTTAATGCTTTAAATCAACATAATAGGGCCTTGGACAACGCAGTTACGATACTAAAGTCTACATCACAAGGTTGTCTGTTATCAATGTTAAACAAAACTCGATGGAGTAAATTTGAAGATTTAATTGGTGTAAATGATTCATGAATAGGGCAGCATCCCATTTACCAAGTTGAGAGATGCTCCGTTGAACTGCAGAAAAGGTTTTTTAAGGTACAGAATGAGTGGAAAAATGGAAATTATTAAGCAAAGGATCCATTGTTTTAGGCAAGGTCACTCTGCTAAGGGGAACAGAAGGGGTTTTTCAGTAAATTTCCTAGTGCTGATTAGGAAATTCCATATTGACAAATTATAAGTTATGTTCCTGAGGGAGCTGAGACTGGTTAGGTTAAGAATTAAAGTAAGACAGTGTGCCTAGTTTATAGTATGAGCTATTTGTTTATTAAATGAATATGTAAAAATAAACTTAAGGGCTTAAGCACAATTTATTTTACATTTTAACCCAAAGCACTTTATACAGTTTTGTACATAATAGGGACTCAGTTTATCTGTTGATTGCATTTAAGTTCATCTGTATCTTACAGGCCCCGTGTACTATCTAAATAGTCTTCTATGTAAATATTAATGCAGCTCTGCACTTATCTGATTTACCTGGAAAATAAGTAATTTTTAAAATTGTACTTCTGGAATAACCAAGGGCTATCAATACACATCCATAATAAGGAGCTGGCATGTTGAATGATGGAGATACCTGTGCGCTGTCACAGGCTTCTCTCCCCTGGGATTTTCAGCATGAGTCAAAAACCACTTGTAATGTCAGAATTAAGTGTCTAATTATTTGCAGAGATAGACATCTGTTCTTTCCACTCACCATTCTACTCCCTCATTAAGGTGTTGAGTTTATTCCAATAATTGATCTTAAGGAACCTACAAATTCCTCTCTTGAAGTGAAAATCACTTTCCTTGTAGCTTCCTTTGGTATAAAACATTTCAAATACATAGAAAAGCACAGATAATTCTCACTGTAGCTTTAAAAAGTTCATCTCCCAAGAAGAAAAACATTAGCCTGTGATGGGTGGCAAAGGTTAAAATGAATGAAAACAGAGAACGTGCAAAGTAACCTTCAAATCTTTTGGCAATAAAGACAATGTTTTTAAAAATTTAGAACTTCAATAATAGAATAGGAAAGAGGTTGTTTGGGAAAAAAGTAAAGAATATTTTGTATCTAATGACTTGTCTTTATACTAATTTAGCCATGTGTGGGAGTGGAAGGAAAGCTTTAAAGTAGCTTTTAAAGTTTATAAACACAAACTGATAGTGTGGAAGGCTGCCATAAAGTATCTGTGATTTTGTGTAAGGGATGTGACTTGAATATAAAATGAAAAGAAGACTCGAAGAAATCTAAATGATTAATAGTTTGGGATTTGCAGTAACATTAGCAAACTACAAAAACAGGCAGTTCTTTGGATTGGATGACAAATACAGAATAAAATTTCACAATACAAATGAGAAACCAAGACCTCAAAAAGAGGCCAGAACAAAAATATTAAGAACTATGAATTGAGAAAGAAAAGGGGAGGAGAAAATGTAAGAATGTTTATGTTTGTAAATATTTCTGAATTAGCAGAGGGTAGCAGATTCTGATTTAATAATTACACACATATCATAATTTATAGGCAGCATTTAAAATTGACTAGGGTTGTGTTAAGGAATGCTTGATCTGGGACCAAATTCAGTAAATGAGTGAATAACATGCTCCTAAAGTTTCTGATTACTTCTAAAGTCTGCATTATGAACTAATATTTTTCTTCATTTCAGCTTACTCGAAAAGTTAAGTCAGGGGCCTTAAAGAGCATTTCATTTGTTTTTGCATAGAGTGGGCACAGGCTGTTATAACGGCAAATATGCAAGTAAGAAATTACATAAAAGTAGTGATCTTTGTTTCTAGTTGGAAATAAAAAATTTTAAAGTTTCTTAAAGATAGAATTGTTTCATGGGAAATATCATTTCCCAGGCTAAGACCTGGCTTCAGTCAACATAAAGGGGAATTCGATGGCATGTGGAGTATAAATTGAAACATCTTTAATGCCTGCAGTAAAGCTAACCTACAACCTTGAACCAGACAAGCAAACCAGACTAGCAGTCTGAAAAACGCGAAGGGCGTGGCAATGCCTTTGCTATTTGTCTCAGAAGCAAGAGGTCTGAGACAATTAAGCCTTAAGTCCACCGACTCAGGTAGGCCGACAGGGAGAGAAGTTCAAACTCCCTCGGTCCTGAGCAGGTGACACGCTCTTACTCTGGGGCAGTAAGTCCGAGGGGAGAAGGCCCCGGCGCCCGCGGTGCAGAGCTCAGTATACAGGTGAAGTTAGGCAGCCCACTGTGGGCAGGGCGGGCAGATCAGCCGGAAGTCCCGCGCTGCCCACCGCACGTGCAGGGAGCCCAGCAAGGGGTGTGTGTGGGGGGGCCAAGTCCTGGAGTCAACCCCGAAACAACCGCCCCGGCGAGCAGGAAGATAAAGGGAGCTGTGCGGCTGACGTTACCTCCACCCACTGCGGCGCAGCGTCCCCCTCGGCTGGGTGTACTTGCAGCCGGGCATGCAGGCATTGCTGCAGGAGCGCGCGAGCCTGAGATGCCCGGCCACACTCAGCCATGACTCCACCGAGCGCGGCGACTCGACCGGCTCAGACCACACTCCACGCACGCTCCGCCCACAGCGCGCAGGGTGGACCCGGGGCAAGCGGCGCGGCGGAGGGACGGCCTGATGGCCCTGGCCCCGCCCCAGAAGGGCGGGGCCTCTGCCGAGCTCTCGGGTGACCCGGATGTGCGGTCTTAAGCGACAAGTGTACTAACCTCTATGCAGAACCTCCCAGCTGTAGAGGGCGGTGAGTGTAGTTTCCAACAGGGAGAAAGATTGAATCTCTTCCCTACGTGCCTTTTAAAGAAATATTTTTCAGTTCAAAAAGCTTGTTTCCAGATGTTGAAAAAATTTTAATCTGCTGAAGTCCGTATTATTCCCGTTGTGAAGACAGATAAGTAGAATGAAAAAACTGAATCACAAAACAGGCGAAGATGGAACGAAAAGCTGTCTTTAAAAAATTTTCTTAACCCAGTCGATTAAGTAATGCTGCCTCTTCTATCAGGAATGCTATAAATCATTCTGGTCCCGCAGTCGCAGAAGGGTATTGATATGCTGTGTGGATACACATTTGAAGGTCAATCCTTTAAGAAATCATCTTTGCTAAAAATATTCTTATCCAAGAAAGTACGTGATTGTTATTTTTTTTTACCTGCTACTAATACAAAAATAAAATGATGTATTCTGATACACCTAATGATATTAAGTTCTGTTATGTGTTCCCTGTAAGTACATGTTAGAATGTACATAAAATTGAACAAGGGCTTGATTTTCTTTCCCACATAATGTATTCATTGAACATTCATCAGATTAGCATTATTTTTCTGTGGACTTGGAGGGTTTAGATGAGGAATAATAGTGTCACCCTGATTGCATTACCCAGGTCATTGATTTGGGCTCAGTTGGCACAATATGCCTATACATTTGGGTCTGTTATTTTAGAAGATGACATCACTTGAAGTGTTGCTATTCATACAAAGTAGTGTAACTGAAGAAAATAATCCATGCATAATCAATGGTCCTTTCTACACAAAATTGAAGCCACCTGTTTGCCAGTTATATTGTGGAATGCATTACACTTTTTGTAAAAATGCAAAGCAAAATCTCACATTATCTCCAATTGCTGCATTGCAGAGGTTTCTACATTTGTTGAAATTTGTCTGCAAAGCACAGACAAGTTGCATTGTCTGTACCTTTGTGTCATAACTATTGAGTCACTTTTCTTTTTCACTTCCAGACTCAAACTTTACAAGGCTAGAAGGAACTTTGACACAGAGGTCCTTAGCCTTGACCCAGAATAAGAGAGGACTTTGATGTCCTTTTGTATTTGGGTACACAAGACAGGGAGCTCTTTTGAAAATAGGGTACATTGTTCCTAAAGATCTTTTCACAGAGAAAAGACTTTAGCAAATTGGGAAATCTTTCTTGTGAATACATGGAGTCTGGTTGGTAACGGTTAGCATCTCAAAGATCACCAATTACTTTAAAGTTTCCTATTGGGTGAGGATCTCAGGACATTACTATTGGTAGTAATAGGTGGGGCACGCTTCTTATTTCCTTCTACCTGTAGAGGGCAGTAAGAGAGTAAGTTCTGTATTTATTTCCTGAACATTTAGTCTCATTCCACAAACAATTTAAGAAGGCAAGACATACACATTTTACAATAAAATATTAAGATATGAAAAAATAAAGCATTAAGAGTATATAAATAGAATTATATCAGTAAGTTGCAATGGAGAAGTTGAAAACAAGATAGTGACTTTTGACTGGAGTGTTGAGATGATACAGTATGCAACAAAATTTTCACAGACACATAGCTTTAATTTTTGTTATAAAACAATTAGGTCCACATATCTAATGTTGAGATGCAGCACATTGTACAATTTCTAGAATTAAAAAGCAAAACACAGCATTAAGTTGGCTCTAGATAAAGATGGTGGTTCACGGGAACATAAGAGAGCTTTGTCTTCTGAGTGTATAAGAAACCACTGTCTGGGCAGGAATAGTTCTCAAACAGTTACAGTCCTGAAAGGGGACCATATGGATAGTGGGTTAATTACGAATGCATTTTAGGCCCTCTGAGGTAGTACAATGATTGATTTAGAGTTGTTTTAAGTTGTTTAATTCCCTCAAGTTGGCTGTCCCAAATTTTAACATTCAGAAATATTTCGCAAACATGAAAAATTTGAGAACCACTTCTCAAAGATTATTTACAATTGATGCTGTTTCTTGATTGTAAAGAAGAAAGGAAAGAGAAAGAAACTAAACTGTTTCATAATAAGCAGAGGTTTTCCTAAGACTTAGCTCTGAAATGAGCCTTGCATGGGGGTATGTTAATTGTAGAGGTGCACCTGGAAGGAAGCAGATGTTTCATTTTAGGGAAGGCTGGAAGAGATCTAACCCCCTGTCCAGTTCAAAGCTCAAAGCTTTTATTTTTTTCAGTGCTTATAATGGTGATCAGGTTCTGAGAAATTGGTTCACACTAATTAAAATGCACATGATTTGGGGCAGAACCAGAATACTAATTTATTCATTTATAGTGAGAAATATTGCTATGACAAAGATTGGGAATTCTCACATAGGGCATGATCAACCCCCTTTTTCCCTGGCCAAGCATGGGATACCAGGTCATATCCAGAAGGTTCTTTATTAATTTACTGTGAGAGATGATAGTCCCTCTTCAACCAGGGCATCTACAACTGAGGTGTGAAAGACCCATGTGAATTCTGGCTTAATAACACTTGTCACATGCATTAAGACTATGAGGAAAGAGGAAATAACAGATTTAAATAAGAACCTGAAATAAAAAAGTCCAAGAGCAAATGTTCCAAGTCACAACCATGTATTTTGTCGTGGAGCCTTCTCTTAAATGGGTAGAAACCAAGGGCATGAGTGTTAATGCAGTTGATGCCACTCCCTACAGAATTATGAGTTCTGGGAAAAGATTAATTCCCACCTAAAGGCTGAGCCTATCTTTAACATGAATGGTTTGCATGACCAAGTAGGGGATGGAATTTAGTTTGGAGCTTGATATTGATTTTTATTCAATTTGCTTTTTTTCTAATTTTATTACTGTACCATTTGCTGGTATGTTGCCTAGGCAACATAATATAGCAAGTGTTTTAACTCTAAAGTGTTTTTAACCTTTTTAACTCTAAAGGTTTCCATAGCAAAGGCTGATAAATTATCTTGATCTTTGGTTTTTCCATTCATAGTATTGTGATAACTTAGCACAACATTGCATAACCTTTTGAATATTTGTATACTTTTGTTAGCCTTTTTATCAAGTCAGGCCAGCCTGTTCTAATGGCTTTTTAAATTTTGATGCCTGCGTCCTTTGTAGAAAAAAATTGTGAAGGATTTTGAAATGGGCAAAAGAGATTTCTAGATATCCTTTTAATGGAATGTTGGAGCCTCTGGGGATTTCCTGGCCCCATGGGGCTAAACGGGATGTCTTTGACTAGGCTGTCTCATAGCCCTGTAGAAACAGAAGTTAACTTTTTGAACACTAATAGTATGCAAATCATTCCTGTCCATTAAAATAAAAAATTTGATTATTATTCTGTGGATATTAACTGGATTTGCCAGTTTTGCTTCCATTTGTAAATTCATTTCAGCATTCCTTACCTGAGTATAAACATACAGCATCTTGAATTCTCTCTTTTTAAAAAGTAAATTTTAAATTTTAGGATAGATCTAGATTTACATAAAAGTTGCAAGACAGTACACAGAGTTACCACATGCTCCTCACCCAATTTCCCCTATTATTAACATCTCAGATTACTATGGTATGTTTGCTGCAGCTAAGAAACCAGCATTGGTTAATTAATTAAACTCCATACTTTACTCAAATTTCATTAGTTTTTCTTTAAATCCATTTTCTGGATCCCATCCGGATACCACATTACCTTTAGTCATAATGTTTCCTTAGGCTGTGTCAGTTTCTCAGACTTTCCTTGTTTTGGGTGACCTTGACAGTTTTGAGGAGTACTGCTCATGTATATTATAGGATGCCCTTCTATTGAAATCTGCTGCTTTTCCCATGATTAGACTGGGATTATGGCTTTTGGAGGAAGATCACAAAGGTAAAGTGCCATTCTTATCACATTCTATCAAGGGTACAGTCTGTCAACAGGTCTTATTACTGCTGATGTTAACCTTGATCACCTGGCTATTTGCCTAATTTCTCCACTGTAAAGTTACACCTTCGTTCCATTTCTATAACTTACTCTTTGGGAGTGTTAGAAAAAGCATAAAACCTAAATGTGATTTATTCCCACCAGGAGGTTTAAACATTTTAACAGTAATGTGTTAACAAAGGACCACGTAGTGGAAAACTTACTAGGTAGCTGCTCAGGCTGACAGTGGGGGGTGGGAATTGATAAGGACCTGGCTATACCTGTTTGAGAAGAGAAAGAAGTTTTAAACCTACCAATGGAATAAGACAAATGTAAGAGAAAGCCTAATATGGATATAACTGGCTTAGGTGACATCCGGGAAAGAATGTGAACCCTGTAGTACTCAGCCAATGAGGAACTAGGGGAGGGACTTGCGCACTAGGAAAATGACTTGTGCCAACTGCCCCAGGTGTGCATGCCCACTAGACACCCAATCTTGCAAGACCGTCATTAAAACCTCGCTCTGCTGTTCTCTTTGTCTCCATGTCAACTTATTGAGTTTGGACCAGTGAGTGTGTTTCTCATAGGAGCAAACTACTAAACATAGCCCATGCTCAAGAGATGGGATGTTATGATCCACCTCCTTGAGTAGGCAGTATCAGCATGAAATATGTGGAATTCTGCATGTGGGAGACTTGAACTCTCTTTTGAACTGTTCACTATATATTACTGGTTCCTTCCTTACTGAGTAAAATATGAATAAAATAAAAATCCTTGATTCATGTTGGTTTTATATTTGTATGGGAGTTGTGATTTTATTCTCTTTTTAAAATTATTCTTTCCTATCTTTCTACCAAGAAATATTATGGGGATTATTTTTATAATAATTGTTATAATTTTTATAATAATTGAAATCCATAAGTAAATACCACAAACAAATACATTATTTTGAAAAGAAGATATTAAATGT